TCCAGGCCTGCATCCAAGTAATTTATGAAGATGTTGAAGAGCACAGGGCCCGAGGTGGAGCCTCGTGGAACCCCAGTAGTGACAGGTGTCCAGTCTGATGTTACCCCATTCACTATTACCCTCTGTGCTCAACTTGTGAGCCAATTATTCACCCACTGTGTGATGTGTTTATCCACCTGTGTGCTGTGTCCACAGCTTTACTGAAATCCAAAAAGATGACATGAGCTGGCTTCCCTGGATCAACTAGGTGGGTTACCTTGTCATAAAATGAAATCAGGTTTGATAAGCAGGACTCTCCTCTCATGAAGCCGTGCTGGCTGTGATCAATGACTGTGTTGTCTTTCAGGTGTTTTTCAATACTTCCCAGAATAATCATCTCCATAAATTTATCATGCACTGAATGAGACTGACAGGCCTGTAGTTTCTGAGGTCCTCCTTCTTGCCCTTCTTGAAAATTGAGACAAGGTTCACCAGTTTCCAGACAGCTGGGACCTCTCCGGATTCCCAAGACTGCTCAAAAATCATCAAGAGAGGTTTTATGATGACATCAACCAGCTGCAGTCCCTCTTTCATTAATTTGAAAAACAAATCTTGTTGGAATTCACACAAACTTATTAGAGAATACTGATTTCCTTGTTTTCTCTAACAAAGTTTAAGTTCAGGATGGTTTTCCCACAAGGAGATTAATAGGGAAAATACTAAATAAGAAAAGAGTAATAATTCTGTCAGTCTGGTTTTCCTTTCAGCTCTAGTTGTTCAAGGGCTGGGGTATGCAGCTACTTAAGGATTAGTGGCAGGGAGAGTATACCAGAGCTTTTCCCTTAAGAATTCAAAAATAAAAGTCTGGCTTATGTAAGACAATAAAGCTTTTAAAAGAGAAAGTGACCTGAGTTATTAATATGCAATATTTTTAGGGGAATTTGGTAATTTTTCATTACGTATTCTTAGTCTTGTACTTGTGTGACAACCATTTGTCCTATTAGGGTCATAGTCCAAACCAACAATCAAAGAGGTGCACATTTTTTAAATTAAAAAAAAATACCCTACCAGCTTACCCAGAGGGTATTGAATGTGGAAAACCCCTCCCCTGCTTACGCGCGTGGGGCTACCACTGTATGGCAGGATCCCACTGTTGTATGGCAGAGTGCTGCCGTTCTGCTCTCCATCACAACCCGTGTCTGTTCGGTGACTGGGGCATGAGTGGCCAACCCCCACCCACCCACGCAGCAGCCCTGCAGCCAGGGAACCCCTTACCCCAGCATACAGGGAGTCTGCCACTTTTGACTACTGCATTTCCCACATGGGAAGCCAGAAGACTTTTTCTGTTGGATTGTTTGTTTGTTTTTAGTGTACATTATCCAGCCAGACTGAGATGGAGACTGATTTTGTATTTGGCTAAGGGCTTTGGTGTAAATGACGTGTCCTGTCTTGTAAGAAGAAAGCCATGAAGACTCTGGGTGCAGAGCCCCTCATCCCTCCCCATCTCTACAGGCCCCAGCACCTCATGCAAAAGCCATTCTGTCACCAGAAACTCCCGAAATAGCCACATCTGCAGTGCTGTTGGGAAGTTGGGACTGTTGTCAGCCAAGAAGTTCCGTGCTTTTAAATGTGGAGAGTTTGAGTGGTTTAAAATTAGTTCAGTGGAACTGTAATCAAATCCATTTATATCAACGTGAATAAGTACTTTGTCTGCAAGGCTTGACAGCAGTTGGGCCACTCACAGTGTGCGTGCCCAAATCCTCCAGGAGCAGAATGTTTGGTTGTAAGCTCCCTACCCTGGAGACTATGTTTCTCTAATGTTTGTAAAGAGCCTGATGCAGAAGTGCTGTAAGCCTCCTTGGAGTTTCTGAAATTTTCTGTTGCTTTTATAAAAAAGATGAAATTATAAAATAAGACCAATGTGAAAATAAGAAATGTGAAAACTGGGGACCAGTCTCTTACAGGCATTGTTACTCAACTTATTATTCATAAAGTAAACATGCTATTAGCATGTGACTGCTAAAAAAATCTGTTTATTTTCATATGAGAGAGATGCACAAACAGAAAAAAAAAAGCCTAGAATGTCTGTTTTCTGTTCTATCAATGGATAGGTAGAGTCCATTTTTTTTTTCATTTTTGTCACATTAGGAAATTCTTACATAAAAGAAAAAACTGAAAGTCTTTTCAAGAAAAATCTTAATTTGAACTCCTCTATTTACATAATTTAGTGGGAGAGAGAGACAACATAGTATAAATTCAAAGTTTGACTTTAATACACCTTAGGGAAGAAGACATTGAGGAAAAGTGGTGTTTTTAGTCAAAAGATAGGAATCATGGGATTCAGCATGCCAGAGCAACATTTTTCGATAATGCTGATGTTATTGAAATTAATAACTGCTGTGCAGTGATAAGAAATACAATATTATACTCATCTGGTAGAGTTGTGCATACCATACAGTGTTCTCTGTGCATGCACCCCAGCATTTGTGGGCTTGTTGTGTGCTGTACTTGTCGACATCCTTAGCTGCAGGTTTGTGTTAAATACGTGAGGTGTAACACATGGGTTTTTTTAAATAAAATTTTCCAAAATTATTTTTTCTAAATTAAGGAAATTCTCTGAAGTAGCTCCAGAGTTGTTGAAAGTGAGAGGCATCCTTCAGGCAACAATACTGTAGTGCAGATTTCTGGCGATGTCTTTGAGCTCTGCCATCAGCAGATCACTTGCAATGTCAGCAGTGTATATGTATGCTGTGTGAGACCCCAGAATGTCAGGACTTTGAGGCTTTTCGAATGCTTGAAATTTAACTCTATTAGTAAAATGTTGGTCCAATTATGTATGCAATAGAAGTATTGCTAGAATCTACTTATCTGCAGCTCTGTGCTGTTCTCTTCATTTGCTAAACCTCCAGCAGTGAGATGCAGCCTTCTTGCTAAAGAACATTCGTGTTTCAGCCTGATTAACATTTTTAAAATATTCATGAAAGAGACCTAGAAATTTTGCTGACACTGTTTTTAGAAGAACTAAATGCTCTGGAGCATATATTGAATTGTATGTGGCTGCTGTAGTAGGAAAAAAACACCCTGGAGACGTCTTTTTTCTGGGCTCCATGACAAATTTTACGTCTATCTGCACTTTAGTCTCACATGAACATAAATATCAAACTATTTTAACTTGCACCCAGCTGGAAAGTATATACTTTATGAGAAGAATGACATTTTTTAACAGTACTGTATTCGCAGGTTATGGATCTCATGTGGATAATAAACTTGAAACCTATACTGTATTTGCTATTACATTATCGAAGAACTTGTCTTTCAGGAAAGTTTTTAGATTGTGTCCTTGTTTTATGAAGAACTCAAAAAAATGAAAAAGTTCACCTTTTGTATGCTTGTAGGTAATACATCAAAGCTCCCTGAATTAAGAAATTATGGGTATGTTTCTATGGAAATACTAATTATCTATTTATCCACATAGGGCTTGTTGAGCAGGCTTCAGGTGAGAGTGAGGAAAACATTCCATATTCTGGTCAGCGTTGATCCTCCCTCCTTCACCAATAGAGTCATTAGTACTGGGGTTGTCTCTGTGTCGAAAAAAAGAATTACTTTGTAGTACAAAGTAACAAATACAACACAATTGCACATTATTACAAAATGACTTGGTGATTACAGGTTTGGACTTGATGATCTAGGGGTCTTTTCCAACCATTAATGATTCTGTGATTCTATGAAGCAGTGATGTTAAATCATCTCTTCTGGCAAAATGATACTAGTGGGAGGAATATCAGTAGTTTTGGAAAATAAACTTTAACAAGAAGGGGAAAAAAAGAAGAAAAACCGATTAAAAAAAAAAAGTTGAAAAGGACAAGAGGAACTGTTTAAATACGGAGAATAGGAATCAAAAGGGAAGCTCAATTAATGAGTCAAGAGACAGGCAGCTGTGAGTACTCTGAGAGTCTATCATTTCTCTCTTATGCTAGCTTTCTTGTGAACTGTAAAGAATGGTAGAGCTGAAGTATATGCCTGTTTAGGAAGTCGAATACATTTTCAGTGCAGTGATATAATGTCCCTTTGTTGTTGTTGTCATCCCCCATTTCCCCTGAAGGCAAAACGAACAATAAATTACAGAAATGCCTCTAGCAGAGTTTTTCTATCGGTGTTCTAGGAATCATGACTTCTACAGTTTTTTCTCCACTTGCAGTTCAGACTTTTAACCTATGATACTCGTTATGAAGGGAAAATACTGTGTGACAATCTATTTACTACTCATATAGTCTTCTCCTTTCAGACGTTCCTATCTACCTCCATGCTCAACTTAAAATCCTCCTATCCGGTTGTAGTTGCATTTTATTTTTGCTGGTACCAATCTGAGTGGTTCTTATCCAGCCTCTCCTTCTATAGTAAAGACTCTCCTGAGTTTACTCTGAGTGTATTTTAACTGTCCTTTAAAAACAGAAATCATATAAAAGCAAGTGTTCTCTCAGTCTATTTTGTCTCTTCAAACATAGGTGTCAATATTTTCCTTCATTCTGGTCTAAAGAAAATAAAAACTAATGGAGTTCAAAGTCTATATCAATGCACTTGTAAGGGCTCAGATTGCCTTTGAAAGCCAGACAGTTCAAAATGTATGATTCTTAGCATAGTAATGTTATTACCAATGTAAAGGTAGAGTTGGATCACACAACGAAAAGTAATGTCATGTTAATGTCATTGGAGTGTATATTTGAGAAATAAGTATTTCTGATTTATTTTGTATAACTGTAGTCTTAATGTTTCAATAATATAGATTTCCACATTTAAGCTCTCCAGTTTTTAATAAGTGGAATAGGAAAGGGCTAGAAGATACCATTAAGTTTCATGAAGGGCTTAGGGCAGCCTTAAATGCAAGTATGGAATGAAGTATAGAAGAAACTCATTTTATCTCTCCTTATTGAGTATTTCTAATGGTTTTATTGGTCTAGTATGGATCAGTGTGATGAAGTAGCATTAATAATATCTTATAGGATCTTTTTTTTTTTTTTCAGTTCTTTGATTTCAGATTACCTGTATACTAAAAGTACTGCTTGGGTAGGTATTCCAAATACTTCTCTTTTATACCCTTTATTCTTTCTTAATTGTCCTTCATGTCAGCAAAGAACCATTCTGATAACCTGATTTTGTTTATATTAGCCCAATTTAATTTAACCCTCTGGTAAGGGCTTCAGGATGAGATCTTGGGCTTTAATTTAGCTTTTCCGTCCACTAATTTTTTTCTGGATAATAACTATCTACATAGGTTTTGAGAAACAAAATTTAGGATTTTTATTAAAAGGACAGGATGTTGAGGCTGACTCCAGAGATAGGAAACCAGAATCACTTGACATTGGCAGCCCAGATCTTCCTGTGCTTCCTATGTGTATTTCAACCATAGTAGAAACTGCATTTTCCCTGCAATGTTAGCATTGCCCTCAGAGTGATAGCAGTGTTCTGCTTTGTGCATGGTGGCAGCATGTATTACAGTGGCCAGGCTCTTCTCTACAGTAAAGAAGTTCTATTTTCTAGTCAACAGAAGGGGAAATGCATTTCTTGTTGTTTCATAAGCAGAAAATCCCACTATTAGATCATCTAGGGTAGATTCAGGAGATAGTTCCAGTTTCCTGGCTAGGAATCAGCCTAACCACTGCAGGTGTGCTGTGTGATTTGGCCTGTGTCTGATCCTGACCATTGTCTCTGGCTCTGTCCTGAAGTTGCTACTTTACATCCTGGCTCTTGGTGCAATTGCTCATGCCAGCCTTACCACAGTGCTAGTTTCCAGCTCGCTTTCCCTTGCAGAGCAGCTGCCCCTTGATGCTCTGTGCATGTCTTTTGCTCTTTCTTCTCCCCTTCCCTTTTTCTCTACTCCTTCTTAACTCCTTCTTTCTCTTCTGCTTAACAGAGAAGGATGTTAAGCTTATTGAACGTGAAGGGACTCTGTTGGTGGAGAAATAATACCTGAGATGGCTGCTTGCCACACGAGGATACAGAAGAGTGTAAGTTTCAGTTTAAAAGAACAGGAGTGGAATGTATTTTCTAATGATTTCTGTCTACTTTCTTTCTGTATGTGTAGTTCTTGATAAACATCTAGGTAGAACTCTGGGGTATGGCAGACAGTTTATGATTTTTTTGTCATATGGCAGTAGGAATAAAGCACACTTACAAGTGGATCTTTACCTGAAACATCAGAGTTTTCCAGGGACCCAGTTTAGGTAAGGGCTGATCCTTCACATACACTTGGAAAACACTAAAGTCTCGATTCTTATTGCTGTACTTATGAAGTACACCAGTGGGTATGAACTAGGAGTGGGCAGAACCGAGAAGCCTAATTCCAGATTTGCTTATAAAAGTGTATTAGTAATAACTTTAGGCAAGTAATTTATAAACAGTAACTCAGAAATTAAATCAGTATCTAAATAAGTCTTGCTGAAATTAGCATTTGCTTATATGGATTATTATGCAGATAATGGGGGGCACAAGCATACTCTCTCTACATAGGAATAATTGTTGCTATATTTATTTTTCCATGTGCAATTATTAAACTCAGAAGGCATTGATCTTTTCGTCTCTTAGCCTGTGCTGACAGTGAAGATGTTCTGGACATCCATGATGTGATTCTCTTAGAACTAGCTTAGCTACCAGCACAGTGAGATTAATCTGCATGAAATGTTTAGTTGCTACAAGCAGATCTCATCTTCTAATGTAGCATGCTCCAGAGGAAATGTGCTTTAATTCGTCCTCTGTAGAATAGGAATAACATTCATTCCCAATCACATGTTGGAAGTGGCACTGTGAGAATTAACCAGTCAATGTTTCTACAATACTCTGCTGCAGAGGGGGATGTTATTTGCTGGTAGGTGTGATTCCGAGCTATGACTAACAGCAAAGCACCGTTGTTATTCCCACTTTGCCATTAGGGACGAATAAATTATTTTAACATGTTCTCCACCCACAGAAATTTCTCAGTATCTTTTAATTTGCATAGCATTTTACAAACAGCTTTTTAGGAAAATCAAGAGTATTGAGGAAAAAGAAACTTGGTGGAAAAGAATCATAATGTGTTGCTGCCACACCCAATTGAAATTACAAGTCAGAAAGCAATGTAGCTGTTAAAGAATTAAAAACGAAGGTAAGCATCTATTTGAGGGATGCAGTACAGACCAAAATTATTATGCGTAACTGCCAGTCTCTGAGACAAGCAGCATTCCAGCAGAAAGAAAGGGAACAGTTCAGCATGGAGAGACAAAATCTGAGAGAAGATGTAAAGGTTATTAAAGCTAGCTAGAGAAAATATTCTCCAAGTTTGCCTGCTTTGTTTGAGCTTAAAGTTCAAATGTGATGATTTAGGGGGGCACCTAATCTCTTTTCCTTATTAATATTTGTCCTTTGAATGAATCTAACTTGAAAAGTCACAGTAATTAAGACCTTCTGTATTAATTCCAATATTTAATTTTCATATTCTTGGAATTCAAAGAGCTTGGAAAATCTTGGAAACTGCAGAGGAAAGGAGATTGAGCAAAAAGTAGAATTCCTCATAACTAATGAGCAAAGACTGAGCCAAAAAAAGAATGTTTGAGCTTTGCAGTCCTATTTGATTCCTAGACTAGTTTTATGCCAACCCACTATAGTTTAGAGCAGTCTTGGAGATATTCTAAAGTCATCCAACACCCCCTAAATAGCAGCCTTTCATGAGAGAAGAGAAAGTCCAGCAGTGCCCCTTGTGCTTCCTGTACAGGGACTGGGGCCTGGTGTAGAAGTGCCACCTTTGTGTCTGCCAGAGGGACTCTGTACCAATCACAGGAATTCTTGGCTGGGGAAGTCTGGTTGGTTTTTGGTCTCCGTGTGGCCAGAGCATCACAAAGGGATTCAGACAAACTGGAGGGACTGAACGTCTCAGTCTAGTATATGTATTCCATGCATTTTGTGCTATCTTGTTTGGAAATAAATCCAGGCATGTACAGAGAGGAGCTGATCCAACATTACTTTATTGCCAGAGCTCCAGCAGCTTGCTTAATACTGTGTAATATTTTATGAGTTACCGACAAATTCATTGGTGGGGTTGTCAGGCTAACCATATGGTTGGCTGTAGAGGAACGTACCAGTTTATTTGTTGGATCAAATTTTTGATTGATTAAGACATTTTCAGTTAGCTGACCTTCAAGTTTGGTTACTAGAGCAGCCTCCAGACTTGCAGTGACAAACACCTGAATCGAACTTAAGTTCAGCAATTTACCTGAAAAGTGTGGACAGCTATATTAGATCATTGTGGAGATTTTACTCATCTCCCTGGTGAATATTCCTAGTGGGACAATGCTGTGTTGTATTTCAGAGATGTTAGAGACTTGGCTTCAGGTTTAACGTGCTTTTCTTTACCGTATTTCTATGGTAGCACATAAGAGGACATAATTCACGCAGTGTGTCAAAACATAATGGATTTATTTTGACTTTCTGATGTAACGCCTCTGTAGCTCCTCCAATTTACCAGCATTAGTGTTCTGACTACCAATTTAGATTCCTAGTTGGAAAAGAGGATCAAAGAGCCTATACCACAGCTTTTCTTTTTGGTCCCTACCCATTCTGGCACTCAGACTGAAAGTGAAAATGGGAGTAGTGAAGACCTTGCCCTTGTTCTGTGGTTTCACTTTTACCATCCCTCTTCTCTCCTCTCTGGTGTGTTTTGTAGACACCTGAGGGCTGCCGCAAGTTGTATTACTTTTCCCTGTCCTTTTGGACCCCAAAAGAGAGAGGACACCATTTGTCTGGTGGTTACCAAGATGCATTTTTACATGATTTGAGACCATTGTGCTATCTGATATAAATGGCCTGACTGAACCTGTTCTCCAGCCATCTGAGCAAGGCTTTGTATTTCATGATTTTATTAGCAGCAGCAGCTTTTCCATCAGTTATGATGTTCTGTAAACTCAGTGCCAATTTGCCTTCATGTCATCTGACAAAATGTGCACATAGCGTAGGATTCCACTGTATTTTTTGAGTTCCAGTATTGATTTATTGTAGGTAGGTACCACTTCAATATCAAAAGAATCATAATGAAACTTAAAGGTATTATTACAAGATTTGATGGGAACGGTCTTGGACAGCTGAGGTGTATTTCAGATAAAAGGTGATTTGAGTTGGCTACAGTAGAGATGCTGTTAGAATCTAGTAAAGTAGAAAATACTATTAATATGAGTGAACTGTTGCTTCCTTTTGGCAATTCAAACACATCAGTAATGTGTATTGTGAAGTTAGATACTACATCACTTGCCAAGTGTCACTTGGCACTCTTGGAAATACTTGGAGATCTGCTGATTTATTAATACATTGTCTGCTGCTTTTTATGTGATCAGTTGCCTGCTCTCCTTGAATGTCTAACAGCCTTCTGGGAATTAATGCTGTATTTCTACTCATGCTAATCAAAAGTTGATATACAAAGTATTTCTGCTGTCAAAGGAGCTATAGGGAACAAGAAACACTGAACATGATGATCTGCCTGTGAATCAGCTTTATACCATCTCCCTTTTTGTTTGTTCCTCTTTTTTTTCTCCCTCTATAACAGTAATCATCAAAAAGAAATTTTTCAATTAATTATTATTTTAAAGCTGAAACAGGAAGTAAATATGCATTTTGAAAGCAAGAACAAGAGGCACCTGTCTCTAATTCATCATCTAAAATTTTGACACTTTCTGGTTAGGGCATTTTCTTATAGGCAGATAGCAGACTGCAGTGATTTTGTCTGTGGAGAATTCATTCCTAATTCCCTGCTTCATAATGCTACTCAGTTAAGCCCAATTATTGCTTTTGAGACATTTTGTTCATGTAGTAGTTAGCAAGTGCATTCTGAAATAATGATAATTTTTCTAGTTGCCACTCTTTTTTCTACAGTGCACTAAAGATACCCTTTCACAAGCAATTTTAGTCAACCTCACAGTCAGTAACTATTCAAAATACTAGTTTTGTTTCTACTTTGGTGTTGTCTTAGTGGCATTAGCTTTTCTCTGCAAAGAGTCATTACATTTATTAAAAATATTTTATGCTGATCAAAACTGATATAACAGTAAAAATATAATTTCTTTTAATAGTGAAATAGTAAAGTAGTTATATTACTGTGAATTTTTTCCTAATGTTAATTATGCAGAAGCAGGTTCAGCATAACATGGATCATGTCTGTTGTTTCTCTTGCATTTTAACATCAGTTTTTAAAGCCTTATGGTCCCTTAAATTAGACAGTATTCTTTTTTCTTTTTTTCCCTAGCACTATTCAGTGTTTGACATTGGCTTAGTGATAAACCTATCACTTATGTACATTTACAAGCACTGCTCTATTACAACCCAGTCCTACCAGGTGTTTTGTATTTTGGACTTATTTAGCCATACCTATGGAATATTTAAAATACTAGTTCCCTACATGAAAGTGCAATTTTAAAAACAGCTAACAAAATGTACTATTTCCTCCTCTTTATGTTGTGTTTTTTTTGGGGTTTTTTTGGTCACTGCACAAAACAAAAGTTCTGTCTAAAAACTAAACTTTGACACTGGCTAGAGATTGCCTTCAAATTCCAATGTTAGATTTTAACCCAAATATTATGACATATGACTCAGAAAATTATTTGAAAATATAGTTAAGAAGTTGAACATAAATGCTTAATTAAATGGGTTCAGTTCTTGCAGAGATTATTTTTTAAAATACCTTTGAAGATTGTTTTTTTTCTTCTCTCCATTCTTCCTTAGCCATCTTTAGACCACCAATTGAAGAAGAAAAATAAACTTGACAGACTTGTCATTTGATTCACAGAATCACAGAATCAGATAGGTTGGAAAAGACCTCTCAGATAATCAAGTCCAACCTTTGACCTAACATGAGGACAGTTCTAGGATTTGTCCATATTCTGAGTCTCTCCTACTCTCTTCTTTGGCAAACAGTAGTTTTTTGTGGCTTTTTCACTATTACTTTACTCACTGGATGTTGGGAATGCATATAAAGCAT